TTCAGAATGGTTTGATCCCTATTCAGCTGAATTCCTGAGACCAGACGAAATCCAGGTCTCCTACTCCTCCGCCATCTTGCTCCGCCCCCTGAATTGTACACTTTAAAAGGGTGAATTTTATAGTATTTCAATTATATCTCAGTTTTGTTGAAGTTTCGTCACTATATTATTTCGTCACTATATTATATATACATAACATATAATATATATATTATATTACTTTTATTGATACAGAAATATAAAGGGTTTGGACTATATTAAGTACCATGTTGCTGAACTGAATTAAAACCCAAAACTGGGGAGAATGAAACGCTTGATTTATAGTTAACCATGTAATGGCATCAGTAATCTCTTTGTGGCATTTCATAATTATTCATCTGATATTAATGATTATGTAATATATGAAAAAGTAATCTCCCCATTTGGGGCTAATTCTTCATATTTAATGTCAAATTCTAGCACAAAGAACTCCAAATCACTGCCTGGTTGGCTGAGTTAACAATACTTCTTTCTCCACGTTCACTACCTACATTGTTCAAACCAGGAACTGGAGCACAACTAACCAGAATTATACCATCCAAATCTGTCATTTTCAGTTACACATTATATTGAATATTGAAAACTGGCTTTAGTGAACCTTTCATTCTGTTTGAGAAATAAAACTAATCAAAAAGTCTATTTCACTGTATTTTCCAAATCAGAGTGTCACTTCTCAATAAGCATGATTTTTCAGAGTTATTTACTACAGGCATACCTCATTTTATCATGCTTTGCAGATACTGTGTTTTTGGGTTTTGGGTTAATTTTTTTTTCTTTTTTTTTTTTTTTTTACAAACTGAAGGTTTGTGGCAACAGTGCTTTGAACAAGTCTTATCAGTGCCATTTTTCCAACAGCATTTGCTTATTTTATCTCTGTGTCACGTTATGTTGATTCTCACAGTATTTCAAACTTTTTCATTATGATTATATTTGTCACGATGATCTGCGACCAGTGATTATGATGCACTGAAATCACAGATCAAACCTTGTTTTTTTAGACATAATGCTTTTATAAACTTAATAGACTACAGTATAGCGTAAACATAACTTTTACATGCACTGGGAGACCAAAAAATTAATTTATTTATTTCACTTTATTACGATTTTCACTTTGCTGTGGTGGTCTGGAACCAAACTCACAATATCTCTAAGGTATACCTGCATATTCCTCACAGCCCTACATTTGGTTCTTCCTTAGGTATGATGTACTTGGGGGACATTTCTTAGGAGGGATCTTTACGTAGAGGAGTGGCAACATTTTGTAAACTCTTCCATTGGGAAATAATATTCCATATTATAGTTATTACACAGAATAATTTGTTTTGTTTTGTTTCTTTTCCTGTTTCCAGTTAGGAGACATGTCTTTAAGTGATAATGCCAGCATGTGCCTGATGAGTATCATCAAAAGACTAGCTGCCCTGAACGTCACAGAGAAAGAATATAGGGAAATCATTCATCGTTCACTCCTGGAGAAGTTGAGGAAAGGATTGAAGAGCCAGACAGAGGTATTGGGGTTTGCAATTGTATCTTTGTCTTTTATGTGCTACTGTTGTGGGTTTTGGTTTTGTTTTTATTTTTCCCTACTTAGGCTGTTGTTGAAAAGCAGTCAGGCTTAGTACATTTAATTAAAATACTTGATTGCATAAATACTCACCAAACTCTTAAAAGGACAGTAGGAATAGAAAGGAGAGTGATCACTTCTGATCTTATAGTTTGTGTTTACAGTAGGAATGTTTTACTTTAAAAAAAAATTTAAAAAAATTATACGGGCTTTTTTGTGTGTCTCTTTATATTATCTAGAAAGCAAATTTTTTTTTTTAAAGATATTTATTTATTTGAGAGAGAGAGCATGAGAGGGGGTTGGGTCAGAGGGAGAAGCAGACTCCCTGCTGAGCAGGGAGCCCAATGCGGGACTCGATCCCGGGACTCCAGGATCATGACCTGAGCCGAAGGCAGTCGCTTAACCAACTGAGCCACCCAGGCGCCCTAGAAAGCAAATTCTTAAAAAAATATTTTTTTTTCTCAACTTGACATTTGCAGAATATACAACAGGATTATACCACAGTGCTTTCCTGTTTAGTTCAAACCTTTCCAGATCAACCAGAATTTAAAGACTTGGTACAGCTTACTGATTGCCATGATCCAGAAATGGACTTCTTTGAGAATATGAAGCACATTCAGGTAGAAGACACTTCCGTGTTGTTGTTTTTTTTTCCTGCCTATAAAATAAGCATTTCAAACTGTTCTATCTCATGTTAAAAGATATATTAATTTTCCAAAAAGTTTTGAGCCTCTCATTCCTTGGTCTTCATGATCGTCAAATTAGCACAGGAAATGATCGTTTTCCTGGGGTCTTTTCATGGTATCATAAACCACAATAATAGTGTCACATTTCTCTGCCATTTCCTAAGAAGTACATAAATGTTTTAGGATCCATTGTTAAACAAATGCTATGGATTATAGCTCTGGAAAAAGATCAAGGCACAGGTGTTTGTTCATGTAACACATGGACTGTATTTCACTCCTTTAATCTTTTCATGGAAAAGGAACATGATACTAAAATGGAGCTGGTTGTAGGTGAGTGTATTCAGTAACTAATTCTTATTTTATCTAACTCATAGATCCACAGAAGAGCAAGAGCCTTGAAGAAACTGGCAAAACAACTAATGGAAGGCAAAGTTGTGCTTTCTTCTAAAGCTCTTCAGAATTACATCATGCCTTATGCCATGACTCCAATTTTTGATGAGAAAATGCTCAAGGTAGGACATTAGATCTAGAAACCGTTAACCTCTACCCATACCATGACACTTTTCCAAAGTGCCTGTGGGGTTGGTAACATCCATATTGATGTTGTCACAATAATTAGAGACTTAAAATAGTTCTGATGCCCTTAGAATGGTACTTGGCACATAGTAAATGCTCTATAAATGGTAGTTGTAATTTTTATTTTCACTATTATTAGCCCACAAAGGCCAACCACAAAATATTTCCCCTCTTAGAAATAAATGATCACATTACTAACATAGTATACTTTTATTTTTGTATCATAGGACTTAATTCTGGTAAATGCCATTAATCAGCAGAATCATTGTTTTCCCAAATGGCTCATAAGAAATGAAGTTAAATAATAGCTACCTTTTCTTTAGCATTGTACCAGATACAGGAACTATTCTAAGTACTTTATATAATCTTACTTCATCATCACCCCAGCTTAACCCTATAGGGACTGTTGTCACTATTTTACAGGAAAATAAACTGGGAATAAGTGAGGTATTTAACTTTCTTAGAGACATAGACAATGAGAATCAGTATTTGAACTTAGGACTGTCTTCACTATTATACTACATAGTGCCAAAAACAGTGCCTGGCACATTGTAAGGCCTTGATAGATTATTGTTTAGAATAATGAAAGACCGTACCCAGAAATTTAAGTCTAATTGAGGTGATATCAGGAGTTGTGACTTGAATTTATGCTGTGTTGATCACATAGTGTTGTGCAAATTTAGGTTTCCCCTGTTGTTTCAAAAATTTTTAAAGAATTACCTAAGTAAATAAAAGAATACTCCCCAAAATTCCAGTTTAAAGAGTCAGTAGGCACAACCAACTTATACTTTGATGGCAGTAAAATAGGAAAGATGTGTAGATGGAAAAAATAAGTTATATTTAGTTTTGGTTGATGTTAACTTGGTATATCCTTTTAGTTTTATTTTTAACACATTGTGACTTTATATTTACAGTTGGTTTCTGGTAGATAGCATACAACTGGGTCTTGGCGGTTTTTTCAAATCTGACAATCTCTGCCTTTTAATTGGTTTTAGGCCATTTACATTTAATATCACTATTAATATGTTAGGTTTAAATTGTTGATGTTGTTATTTATTTTCCATTTGTCCCTCTTTTTTCTTTCCTTGTATTGGATTAATTGGATTTTTTAAATGATTTTATTTTGTCTCTGTTGGCTTACTAGTTATCATGGAGCTTTTTTTTTTGTAGATTTTACCTCTGTATCAGTTTTAAACCACATCATACGTTGTTGTTGTTTTTGCTTTAAACAGTCAATTATTGGGGCGCCTAGGAGGCTCAGTCATTTAAGCGTCTGCTTTCAGCTCAGGTCATGATCCCAGGGTCCTGGGATCGAGTCCCACATCTGCCTCCTTGCTCAGTGGGGAGGCTGCTTCTCCTCTGCCCTTCCCCCTGCTTGTGCTTTGTCTCTCTATATCTCAAATAAATAAATAAAATCTTTAAAAGAATAAACAATTATCTTTTAAAGAAATCTTTCAAAGTAAGGAAAGATCTTTTATATTTGCTTACATATTTATAATTTCTGGTCACTTCCAATTAATTACAATTTTCCAATCATTCCTTTGGGTAGATCCAGACATATTCCTGTATCATTTTACTCCTTATAGGAAGGAAGACCTCCTTCAGATTTTTTGTAGCACAACTTGTGGTAAAGTCTTTCAGTTCTTATTTGTCTTTTCTCATTTTTGCTTTTATAGGTAATGTTTCTAGGTATGGAATTCTAGATTAACAGGTTTTTTTTCTTTCTGGTCTTTAAAGATAATTGCTCTATTGTCTTCTGTTTTATATCATTTCCAAAAAGAAATCATTCCTATCCTTATTACTCTGAGTGTAATCCTTTTTTTTTGTTCTGACTGCCTTGAAAATTTTCTCTATCACTGGTTTTAAGCCATTTGATTACAATGTGCCTTAGTGTAGTTTCCTTCATGTTTCTTATGTTTGGGGTTTGTTGAGCTTCTTGGAGCTATTGAGTTGTAGTGTTCTTCAAGTTTGTAAATTTTGGCCATTATTTCTTCAAGGATACTTTTGGGTCCCCTTCTTGATTTTGGAGACTCCAGTGTATGTTAGGCCACTCAAAGTTGTTTCAAACACACTGAGGCTCTTTTTTTTTTTTTCCATTACTTTTTTTTTCTGGGTTTCATTTTGTTTCATTTTTGTATTACTGTGTCTTCAAGTTTACTGCTTTTCTTCTTCAGAGTCTAATCTGCTTTTAATCCTATCCAGTGTCTTCCCTCCCAGAACTGTCTTTTCCATTTCTAGACGTTCAGTTTGGGCCTTTTTTATATCTTACCTCTCTTCCCTTAACATGTTCTTGCTTTCCTCTCCCTTTTTGACCTAATGGAATGTAATTTTATCATTTGTCTTACTGCCTTTGTCTACTATAAGTCTATCATCTGTGTCATTTTGGGGTCTCTTTCAACTGGTTGATTTTTCTTCTCGTGAGAGGTATTTTTCTGCTTCTTGGTATGCCTATGCAGCTTACTCTGTATAGCTCTCTCCTGTCTGGTGCTTTCCCTGTGGACTCTAGCTGCCATAGCCTCAGCTCTGTCTCCTTATATCAGGGAGACCACTGGGCCCTTGTTGGGTTTCTCCTCCTGTGCTTGACACTGTGAATTAGGGCAATTATAAGACACACTTCATTTGTTGCCATACTCTCAGGGAGCACTGAACTGTACTGTTTGATGTCCAAAGTCTGAAAACTGCTATTTCATATATTTTTGTCTACTTTTCTAGTTTAAGGTATGAGGGTAAATCCAGTCCCTGTTCTCTATGATGGCATGAAAGAGATGTCTCCAACGTAATGTACTGTTGAATGCTGAACTGTGTGTTAAAGTTAACTTTAGTGTTTGTCAACTTTTACATATGAATTTACTTCATTCACAGTCTGTAGGCTTGAACCCATCAGAGAGGTCTGAGTGGAAAAAAAAACCCAAAGTGTATTAATACCATTTAATTAAAATACAGTTTCATTCCTTTAATTGACAGTGTCTTTTCTTAGAGCTAGGTGGGGCGGGGGGTGGAGTATAGCTTGGTCATTCCTTCCTTTCTGTAATTGCTGATCACCTACTATCTAAACTTTTTAATGTATGAAATTGGCTCTGTATTTTGTTAGTAAATGTAATTCTATGTTGATGTTCTTGATATGTTTTACAGCATGAAAATATAACCACTGCTGCCACAGAAGTTATTGGAGCTATTTGCAGACATCTCTCTTGGTCAGCATATATCTATTACTTGAAACATTTCATTCATGTTTTACAGACAGGACAGATCAATCAAAAGCTGGGTGTCAGGTATGTATGGTCAAACTTCTTTGTTTTTAAAATGTCAGTTTTGGATTATTTCTTGAAGTAGTCTTGCTCATCTCAGTTTACTTTTACCTTGTATTGAGGTTATGTTAATGTTTGTTAACATCAAAAATAACTAAAACTGGTAAAAATAATATTAGTGTTTGTAAGTCTTTAAATGTTTACTTTTAATCAAATGATGTTGTGAATCAAGCAAACATTTCTGTGTACCTTCTCTTTTTAACAGTTTGCTAGTAATAGTGTTAGAAGCATTCCACTTTGACCACAAAACTCTTGAAGAACAAGTGAGAAAAATCCAGAATGATGAAAGTAAGTTTCTGAAACTTTCTTAAACTAAATTTCCATTCTGCTCTTGGATAATTGATGATGAATTAAAGATGGCAAAATTCAGCTTACCACCCTTTTCTGCTCCTAGAGCAGTGACCAGTGAATGAGTCAGGAGGAAGTTAAAGCAGATGGTTTGAGTATTTGTGTAAAAACTTATTTAACAATAGAGAAGGCCAGTCTAAATTATATGGGCAAAAAATCTGAGCTGTAGATTATTTATATAGAAATCCAATTTCACCACCTGCATGTATGGAAAGAACATTAAGCAATGAATGCAAAGAAAGTATAAGGAAATAATTAAAAAGTAGAGCAACAATTAATGAAATATAAAGTAGATACAATAAGAAAGGATCATAGCTAAAAATAATTTTAGATATTTGAAAAAATTATAAATTGGCAAAGCTCTCTCAAAATTGGTCAGTAAAAATAGAAGGCATAAAAACATTACAAATTTTAAAAGGTCACAATTAAATGAAAAAGGTTATAAATAATGTTATGATCTTTGTACTTAAAAGTTTGAATACTTGAGTGAGACATACAAATTCTTAGAAAAATAAAATACAAAAGCTGGCTTTAGAAGAAATAGAAAATCTGGGTGTATCTCTAACCACTAAAGAAATTGACTATAGTTTAAAAACCTCTTGATGAAAATACCAGGTTCACACTGTTTTATAGGCAAGTTCTACAAATATTTAAGGAATTTCAACTTTATGCCTGCCATTTCAGCTGATTGATAAAGGAAGCTTCCACTAACTCATGAAGTTGGTATACTTGGTTAATGGAATTTAACATATTAGCATGCAAAAAACATGTGGTCATCTAAAGAGACACAAGGGAAACATTTGATTAAATTCAGTATCTATTGATATCAAATAAGGAATAATTAGAAATTTCCTTAACCTATTAAAAGAAAAGAATGAACACTTAAATGGGCCAATAGGCTAATTGTTTTTGCTAAAGACATTGAAATATTCTGGCCCTCAGTTTGCACTACTCCAACATTCCTTCCTATTCAAAATTTTCTAATTCTTTGATTCACAGTATGATCACTGTAGAGCCACACTAATAGCAAAGACTGGCTTGAATTTGTAGGAACTATGTATGTTTTAAACTATTAATGTACTACAGCCCCTTAACGGTTTATTTTCAGGCAGTGGAATCTGCATTTTGTAATTTTGCATAAACAGAAACATTAAAAATTAAGATACTTAATTTGTTTAACTATCTCTTTTCTTCTTAGATATGACTGAAGTTTGAAACATTTATTGAGCACCTTCTATGACCTGGACCTTTATATAGACATTATCTTATTTGTTTTCATAAGAATCTTACAAGAACCTTAGTTGTTAGTTACCCCATCAGTTTTGATATGAGAAATTACAGTTCAGAAGTGTAAAGTAACTTGTAACTTTCCCAAAGCTACATGGCCAGTAAACAAAATAAAGACTAATAGCTACCATTTTTGAAAGTCAGTGAAGTGTCAGAAACATATTTTGGGTGCATTACAGACTTTTTATCTCATTTAATCCTCACACAATAGCCTTGTAAGGTAGGTGCCATCTCCAGCTTACCAATAAAGAATCCAGAGCCTATGCTGGTCACATGGCTTATTAGCAGAGCCAAGCCGAGACTTGTCCCACAGTACTGTACTGCCTAATTTTCTTTAATAAACTGGACCCTATAGTAAGGGACATTTCCACATGACAACTGTTGGCTGCCATTATGATTTTCATGCTCATGAGTATAGGTTTTTGTTTTTGGAAACCTCCAACCACAGTACTTTAGAAGTACTTTTGGTTAAGACCCTCCTCCCAGCCTAGCCTCCTAGTATATTCCCAAAGTACCCTGTACTTGCTCTCCCACCCTCATAACTGTGAGTTTACTTGTCTCTATTCGTCATTAGGCTCCAAAGTGTAAGACAGCAAAAAACCATAACCCTCTCATTTAGTGCTGTTTCCTCAGCACTTACCTTGCCTACCCATAGTGATGACTAGTTTTTATTGGATGTTGGTGGGAAAGACTACGTAACACAACTGTGTTGTTTCCTTATTTGATTTAAGGTGACTTTTGTTGTTTACTAAACATAGACACAATAGAAGTGATTGAGTTGCCCGAGCATGAAACCATGGAATTAGAGCAAATGGATGAGGAAGAGAAAGAAAACAAATGGAAGAGTTTGTCAGACAATAGCCAAGAATTGGGAAATCCTGATCCAGCTGATTGTGAAGGGACATCAGCTAGAGAACCTGAGTGTATCACGGAGTCCATCTCTTTCCTTCCTCGGAATAAGGAAGAATTGGAGAGAACAATTAAAAATATCCAAGGAACCATAACTGGGGATATCCTTCCCCGGCTACATAAATGCCTGGCATCTACGGTAATCATTCTTTTTGGGGCGCAGGATGTCTGTGTGAACCCGGGTGTTTGTGTGGCCCTGTCAGACTGAGGCTCCTAACTATCATTGATTGACTTCAGCTTTTGGATTTTCTTTTACCTCAACACTTCACAGTTTTACCTCCCTTGATTTGTCTCATCATCTTTAGGTTCATCTCCTGCTGCAGCTAATGTTTCTTCATTATGATTTTCATATGGTAGACATATGCTTCCTATCTCCAAAGCAGTTATATCCAAAAAAGAAAAAGTTTTAAAAAATTAGAGTATGTTTTCTTTTTCAACATGTTGGCCACTTCTCTGCTGTTCAAAATTCATCTTCTTCCTGGTTAACAGGGATAATATTTAGCAGTGGATTCTCATGAAGTCAGAGCCTTTCCTTCTCAGTGTAAAACATTGATTGGCAAACTGTGGTCCATGGGCGGGATCCAGCCTGCAGCCTGTTGTTGTAAATGAAGTTTTATTGGAACACAGTCACACTCATTGTTGTACATACTGTTTAATTCAGCTTTTATGTTACCACAGCAGAGTTGAGTAGCTTCAAGAGAGATCATAAAGCCAAAAATACTTACTATCTGACCCTCTACAGAAGTTTGCCAGCCCCTGGTATAAAATATTGACTTGATCATTTGGTATATTTGTAAATATAACTTATTTGAGGCACTGTATTTCTTACATACCAACAGTGTCACTCAAAGTCTTGAAAATCCCAATTGATAGAGATTTCTTATGATTTTTATATATTTCACAGCAGTCTTAATCTACATCAGTGAAAATTTGGCTTTATTTTTTTCTGGTTTCTCCTTTGGAAAAAACCTTATTCCTACTAGTTTTATGATTTTTAGAGGATTATTCTCAAATTGCATAATTTAGTTTCATTTTAAGACCGTAAACTTGGAAATGGTCATAAGATGTATCAAAAGAGCTTACCTTTCAAATGCAAGGTTGCAATGTTTGTAGGTCCCTGATCCATTTATTTTTGTTTTAGTTTAACCTAAATTTTTCTTACAGACTAAAAGGGAAGAAGAACACAAGCTCATAAAATCCAAAGTTGTGAATGATGAGGAAGTAGTTCGCGTTCCTTTAGCTTTTGCCATGGTTAAACTAATGCAGTCCCTTCCACAAGAAGTTATGGAAGCTAATCTGCCAAGGTATATTGTGTGACAAATTAGAAAAGTTCAGTGAAACTCAAAAATCAGTTCTTTCTTCCTGACTCTTGAATCTCTTTTGTGAGGAAGAGAAGTACTGTCACAATATGCTGTGATTTCGAATCTTAACTGGGAAATTTGGGTTACTAAATAATTAAGAGACAAAAGGATGTTTGTATTTTTATTTGCTTCTGTATTTTGATTAGTCCTTTTCAACTTTTCATTTTCTAGTATTTTGTTGAAAGTGTGTGCCCTCCTCAAGAACAGAGCACAGGAAATCAGAGACATTGCACGCAGCACTCTAGCAAAAATAATAGAAGATCTAGGTGTGCACTACCTACAGTATATTTTAAAAGAGTTACAGACTACCCTTGTCCGTGGATATCAGGTAAATTGCATTATGTGCCTTATATTCACAGAGGTCAGATTGAAATTCAAATGTTTGCAGTTTGAACTCTGTAAGTGAAGGTGCTATGGGTTTGTCTTCAGTAAAGTTGATCCACTGCAGTAGCAATCAAGAATATTCACAGGTTTCTAATCAGCATTTTAAAAATCTATTTAAAAGAAAAAAAAAATCTCTTATATTTGATTTTTATAAAGTCACTTACAGACCTGGGTTACATAACCTCTTTTTTTCCCAAATCATTTGATACCAAGTTTTGTATTTTCTGAGTTTTTAAAAATATTCTTATTGAATGCATGTTGAATGTATTACCACAAATGTGAATAATAAAGAACATACACATTTGCTTTAAGAGTTGAACCATATGATAGAAGTAATAAAATAGGAACCCCACATGGAGTACAAAGCTCTTCAAGTAGTGACATGACTGGCTAGCTCCTCACTACTCCACAAGTGTGGATCTTGGATAAGCACCATCAGCAACACCTGGGAGCTTGTTAGAAATGCACAATTATGCAGGAAAAGATTGCGGAGGAGTAGGGGACCCTATTCCAACCAGTCCCTGGAATTGAGCTGGATATCTACCAGACCACTCTGAACACCCACAAAATCAGCCTGAGATGTAAGAAGATAGATCTGGATCTCTACAAACAGAATATTGCAGGTGGTTGGTTTCAAGGTATGAAGCAGGGAGCTGTGATTCCGCGGGCAGATATTGGAAGATAAATGGAAGGGGGAGGGAGCTGCTTGTTATAAGCTCTGGCGCCGGGAAGGTGAAATAACACAGGAGCGCAAAAGCCTCCTGCACTGGGGACGGGGTACAGACTCACAGACTGGTAGCAATGGGGAAAGGACTTTAGGGCAGTCCCCCAGACGGAAGCCCAGAGTGGCAGGGCCGTGCATGTGGAAACTGGTGGCAGCTGGCGGTTGTAGAAGCACAAAGGGCAGAGATGTGTCCCAACCTGGAGGTGAGGACTGGGAGCCCTGCTTGAGGGGCGCACAACCCAGGACGCTGCAGTTTATAGCAGCACAGACAGAAACGGAGATGGTGTGGCCTGGAGAGCTCACTGAAGAACAGACTGCGATCTCTCTGCTCTGAGGCAGAGGGTTGGAAACGATCTCTTCTGCTCTGACTCTTGGAAGAGATGCGGAAAACCGCCAGGGAAAGCTGTCAGAGAACAAAAGCCCCAAAAAACCGGTTTTCACTGAGCCCATCCCTTCCCCCCCAACAGCGGGCAGGGCAACTCTGCCCAAACAGCGCAGCAGGCCCCTCCCCCAGAAGACAGGCTGGGAGAACAAGAGACTTGCAACCCTAAGGTCCCTATAAAACAGGTACATCTTGCTTGGGTTGTGGTCAGTAATTTGAACTCTGTACATTCCTTCAACCACCCATCAACAAAATGACTAGGAGGAGGGACCCCCAAAACAGGAAGGACTCAGAGACTGTGACATCTGCCACAGATTTACAAACGGATACAGATATAACCAAGGTGTCGGAAATGGAATTCAGGGTAGCATTTGTGAAGACAATAGCTAGAATGGAGAAATTGATTAATGGCAACAGAGTCTCTAAGGGCAGAAATGAAAGCTGAACTAGCAGAACTTAAAAATGCTATCAATGAGATCCAATCTAATCTAGATAATATAACAGCTAGGGTAAGCGAGGCAGAAGAACGAATTAATGATCTAGGAAACCAGTTGATAGAAAAGAAGGATAAAGAGGAGGCGAGGGAAAAACAACTCAGAATCCATGAAAATAGGATCAGAGAAATAAGTGACACCATGAAATGTTCCAATGTCAGAATTATTGGGATCCCTGAGGTGGTGGAGAGAGAGAGAGGACTAGAAGATATATTTGAGCAAATTGTAGCTGAGAACTTCCCTAATCTGGGGAGTGAAACAAACATTCGTGTCCTAGAGGCAGAGAGGACCGTTCCCAAGATCAAGGAAAATAGGCCAACGCCCTGGCATGTAATAGTAAAACTCGCAAATCTTAGAACCAAGGAAACCATCTTAAGGGCAGTTAGGGGGAAGAGATTCCTTACGTACAGAGGGAGGAACATCAGAATAACATCAGACCTATCCACAGAGACCTGGCAAGCCAGAAAGGGCTGGCAAGACATATTCAGGGTACTAAACGAGAAGAACATGCAGCCAAGAATACATTATCTGGCAAGGCTATCATTTAGAAAGGATGGAGAGATGCAGAGCTTCCAAGACTGGCAGAAACTGAAAGAATATGTGACCACTAAGCCAGCCCTGCAAGAATATTAAGGGGGCTTCTATAAAAGGAGAAAGACCCCAAGAGTGATATAGAACAGAAGTTTACAGAGACAGTCTACAGAAACAAGGACTTCACAGGCAACATGATGACAATAAATTCATATCTTTAAATAATCACGCTCAATGTGAACGACCTAAATGCTCCCATAAAACGGCAACCCATCCATATACTGTCTACAAGAGACTCATTTTGTGCCTAAAGATACATCCAGACTGAAAGTGAAGGGATAGAGATCCATCTTCCATGCCAACAGACCTCAAAAGAAAGCTGGGGTAGCAATTCTTATATCAGACAAATTAGATTTTAAGCTAAAGACTGAGGTTAGAGACAAGAAGGACACTATATCATTCTTAAAGGGTCTATCCAATGAGAAGATCTAACAGTTGTAAGTATCTATGCCCCCAGCATGGGAGCAGCCATCTACATAAGCCAACTGTTAACCAAAGTAAAGAGTCATATTGGTAATAATACGTTAATTGTAGGAGACCTCAATACTCTCAGCAATAGACAGATTATCTAAACAGAAAATCAACAAAGAAGCAAGAGCTTTGAATGACACACTAGACCAGATGGACCTCATAGATATATACAGAACATTCCACCCTAAAACGACAGAATACTCATTCTTGTCAAGTGCACATGGAACTTTCTCCAGAATAGACCACATACTGGGTCACAGATGAGGTCTCAACTGATACCAAAAGACTGAGATTATTCCCTGCATATTCTCAGACCACAATGCTTTAAAACTGGAACTCAATCACAAGAAAAAAATTGGAAGAAATTCAAACACTTGGAAGCTAAAGACCATTCTGCTCAAGAATGTTTGGGTCAACCAGGAAATCAAAGAAGAATTTAAACAATTCATGGAAACCAATGAGAACAAAAACACATCGGTCCAAAACCTATGGGATACTGCAAAGGCGGTCCTACGGGGGAAATACATAGCCATCCAAGCCTCACTCAAAAAAATAGAAAAATCCCAAATTCACCAACTAACTTTACACCTTGAAGAACTAGAGAAAAAGCAATGCCTAAAAAAATGATGCCCTAAGCCTTGCATTATAAGAGAAATAATTAAGGTAAGAGCAGAGATCAATGAATTACAAACCAGAAACACAGTAGATAAGATCAACGAAACTAGAAGCTGGTTCTTTGAAAGAACTAATAAGATCAATAAACCACTGGCCGGACTTATCTGAAAGAAGAGAGAAAGGACCCAAATTAATAAAATTATGAATGAAAGGGGAGAGATCACGACTAACACCAAGGAAATAGAAACACTTTTTAGAAATTATTATCAAGGGCGCCTGGGTGGCTCAGTTGGTTAAGCGACTGCCTTCAGCTCAGGTCATGATCCTGGAGTCCCAGGATCGAGTCCTGCATTGGGCTCCCTGCTCAGCAGGGAGTCTGCTTCTCCCTCTGACCCTCCTACCTCTCATGTGCTCTCTTTCTCAAATAAATAAATAAAATCTTTTTAAAAAAAAGAAATTATCATCAAAAACTATATGCCAGTAAATTGAGCAACCTGGAAGAAATGGATGTCTTCCTGGAAACCTATAAACTGCCAAGACTGAAACAGGAAGAAATTGACAACCTGAATAGGCCAGTAACCAGTAACGAGATTGAAGCCGTGATCACAAATCGCTCAAAAAACAAGAGTCCAGGGCTGATGGATTCCCTGGGGAATTCTACCAAACATTCAAAGAAGAAATAATACCTATTCTCCTGAAGCTGTTTCAAAAAATAAAAACAGAAGGAAAGCTTCCAGACTCATTCTATAAAGCCAGCATTATCTTAATCCCCAAACCAGGCAAAGACCCCATCAAAAAGGAGAATTTCAGAGTGATATCCCTGATGAATATGGATTCCAAAAATCCTCAACAAAATCCTAGCTAATAGGATCCAACAATACATTAAAAGGATCATCCACCACGACCAAGTGGGACTTATCCCTGGGATGCAAGGGTGGTTCAACATTCACAAATGAATCAATCTGATAGAACACATTAATAAGAGGAGAGAGAAGAACCATATGGTCCTCTCAATTGATGCAGAAAAAGCATTTGACAAAATACAGCATCCTTTCCTAATTAAAACTCTTCAGAGTATAGGGATAGAGGGAACATTCCTCAAGTTCATAAAATCCATCTATGAAAAACCCACAGTGAATATTATCCTCAGTGGGGAAAAGCTGAGAGCCTTTCCCTTAAGATCAGGAACACGCCAAAGATGCCCACTCTCGCCACTGTTGTTCAACATAGTACTAGAAGTCCTGGCAACAGCAATCAGACAACAAAAATAAATAAAAGGTATTCAAATTGGCAAAGAAGAAGTCAAACTCTCTCTTCGCAGATGACATGATACTTTATGTGGAAAACCCAAAAGACTCCACCCCCAAATTACTAGAACTCATACAGCAATTTCAGTAATGTGGCAGGATACAAAATCAATGCACAGAAATCAGTTGCTTTCTTATACACTAACAATGCAACCATAGAAAGAGAAATTAGAGAAACGATTCCATTTACAATAGCACCAAAAACCGTAAGATACCTCGGAATAAACCTAACCAAAGGGGTAAAGGATCTGTACTCTAAGAACTACAGAACGTTCATGAAAGAAATTGAAGAAGACAGCAGAAGATGGAAAAATATTCCATGCTCATGGATCGGAAGAATAAGCATTGTTAAAATTTCTATGCTACCCAGAGCAATGTATACCTTCAACGCCATCCCGATCAAAGTTCCTATGACATTTTTCAAAGTGCTGGAACAAACAATCCTAAAAATTTGTATGGAATCAGAAAAGACCCCGAATCGCCAGGGAAATGTTAAAAAAGATAAAGCTGGGGGCATCACGTTGCCAGATTTCAAGCTATATTACAAAGCAGTGATCTCCAAGACAGCATGGTATTGGCACAAAAACAGACATATAGACCAATGTCTATATTCTCTGTTAGAGAGAGCCCAGATATGGACCCTCAACTCTATGGTCAAATAATTTTTGACAAAGCAGGAAAAAATAAGCAATGGAAAAAAGTCTCTTCAATAAATGGTGCTGGGAAAATTGGACAGCTATATACAGAAGAATGAAACTCGACCATTCTCTAACACCATACACAAAGATAAACTCAAAATGGATGAAAGACCTCAATGTGAGACAGGAATCCATCAAAATCCTAGAGGAGAACATAACAGTAACCTCTTTGACATTGACCACAGCAACTTCTTTCAAGATACATCTCCAAAGGCTAGTGAAACAAAAGCAAAAATGAACTTTTGGGACTTCATCAAGATAAAAAGCTTCTGCACAGCAAAGGAAACAGTCAACAAAACAAAGAGGCAGCCCACAGAATGGGAGGAGATACTTGCAAATGACACTACAGACAAAGAGCTGATATCCAAGATTATAAAGAACTTCTCAAACTCAACACCCAAAAAACAAATAATCAAGTCAAAAAATGGGCAGAAGACATGAACAGCCACTTCTGAAGAAGACATACAAATGGCTAACACACACATGAAAAAATGTTCATCATCATTAGCCATCAGAGAAATTCAAAACCACATTTGAGATACCACCTTACACCAGTTAGAATGGCAAAAATTGACAAGGCAAGAAACAACAAATGTTGGAGAGGTTGTGGAGAAAGGGGAACCCTCTTACACTGTTGGTAAGAATGCAAGTTGGTACAGCCACTTTCAGTTACAGTGTGGAGGTTCCTCAAAAAATTAAAAATAGAGCTACCCTATGACCCAGCAATTGCACTACTGGCTATTTACCCCAGAGACACAGATGTAGTGAAAAGAAGGGCCATCTGCACCCCAATGTTCATAGCAGCAATGTCCGCAATAGCCAAACTGTGGAAAGAGCCAAGATGCCCTTCAACAGATGAATGGATAAAGAAGATGTGGTCCATATATACAATGGAATATTACTGAGCCATCAGAAAGGATGAATACCCAACTTTTATATCAACATGGATGCGACTGGAGGAGATTATGCTAAGTGAAATAAGTCAAGCAGAGAAAGTCAATTATATGGTTTCACTTATTTATGGAACATAAGGAAGGACATTAGGAGAAGGAAGGGAAAAATGAAGGGGGGGATCAGAAGGGGAGATGAACCATCAGAGACTATGGACTCCTAGTAACAAACTGAGGGTTTTAGAGGGGAACGGGGTGGGGGGATGTGTTAGCCAGGTGATGGGTATTAAGGAGGGTATGTACTGCATGGACCACTGGGTGCTATACGAAAACAATAAATCGTGGGTCACTACATCAAAAACCAGTGATGTATGGTGACTAACATAACATAATGAAATAAAATAAAATTAAAAAAGAAATGCACAATTTAGGGCCCTACACCTAACCTACACTATCTGCATTTCAGTAAGATCCCTGAGTGATAATCAAGTTTGAGAAAAACTGTAGCTTGTTCTTTTCAAGCATCCAGTCAAGACTTCTGATAGTTAGCTTTACTTTCTGTATCTGAATTTGCTCAAAGGTAAGCTTCCTATTCTATAGTTTATAAATCTAACACATTAAAATATCAGTATTCATTTTAACTGTCTCTCTTTGAATAGTTTTTTGATGGTTGCTCTAGGAATTACCATATACATAGTTACTTTTAATATTCTACTTAGAATCAGTATTTTATGACTTCAAGTGGAATATAGAAACCTTACCCCCATATGGATCCCTTCATCCTTTATTTTATAGTGTTTGTCTATTATTATCTCCATATATTGAAAACTTCATCAGGCAGTGGTACAGTTTTTGCTTGTAATTGTCAAACATATTTTAAAGAACTCAAGAAGAAAAAAACAGTCTGTTAGTTTGCCCAGATATTTATCATTTCTGCTGCCCTTCTTCAATTTCTGAATTTCCAAGTTTCTGGTAATTGTTTCCCTTCAGCCTAAGAACTTCCATCAGCAATCTTGTAGGGCAAGTATGGTGGCAGCAAATGCTCTTAGTTTTCTGTCATCATTAACAGTACTTTTCTTTCAGCACTTTAAAAATGTTGAATCACTTCCTTCTGGCCTTTCTGATGAATAATCCAGTTATTCACATCATTTTCCCCCTCTAAGTAATGCATCGTTTTCTCCTCTGGCTGCTTTAGACTTTTTCTTTGCCTTTATTTTTCAGTAGTTTGATTATGATGTATTTGAGTTTGCTTTTTGCAGTTGAGGGGCTGGCAGGGGAGTAGTCTGTTTGAGATTTGCTTCCCAAATTTGGGAAGTTTTGAGCCATTATTTCTCCAAATACTTTTTTTGCACTGTACTCTGTCCTGGAACTCCAGTGAAATGAATATTAGACTTTCTGTTTTTGTCCCACTGGTTCCTGAGGCTCTCTTCGTGTTTTTTATTTTTTCAGTTCTTCCTTTCTGTTGTTTGGATGTGAATAGTTTTTATTGATCTGTCTTTGAGTTCACTTACTCTTTCCTTTTTCATTTCCATCCTGCTGCTGGGCTCATCCAATGAATTTCTTACTTTGGTTGTTGGGTTTTTCAGTTCTAAAATTTCCATTTAATTCTTTATATCTTCAGTTTCTTTGCTAGCACTTTAGTTTTCCATTTGTTTCAGTCCTCCAGGTAGAAAGCTGGGGCTTTATTGCTTCCATTTTGCTGTCACTTCCCGCGGCTGTGCCCACAGGAGGGGCCTAGTGTGGCGAAACAGAAAGAGAAGAGTAGCTAGCATTGGCCTACCCTCTCAGCATGCAGTTCCACTAAAGCAGAGGAAGGTCCCCTCCCACAGAGTTGTGGCTCCTGCCAATTCCCATTTCTAGGCCATTGCCACCACCATCACTGCAGGATTGTAGGGGGCTGGGGTGTGGGAGAACAGAAAAAAGAAAGAAAGAAAACCAGGGATTTCCTCCCTCACTTAGAGCATTATGTGTTCCTCCTCCTACTCAGCAAGCCATGGGGCTTCTCCTAGAGTTCCCTTCGTCCTGGCATCCACTTGCATGTTAGCTGGGGGATACTGAACAGAAAACAGTGGTAAACTCCCTGGAAGTTTGGTGGTACTTGCATTCTGGTGTTCTTCCCCAGTAGCTGTTCCATGCATCTTTCCAGGTGTTAACAGCTGCTTTCAGTGGGAGAGACAGAGTAGAGTGTGCTTTATCCATCTTACCTGGGATCAGAGCCCCTGTCAGTATTCATTTTTTTCTATTCTTCCAACCAGCATTTATTCCATTGCTGCTTTATGTGACATGCGGTGTTAGGCATGGGCATAGAAGGATAAATACGGTATATTTCTGTCTTTTGGATTCATCCATATTTTAATGGAGAACCTGAGATACTTAAATGAGTAGCCCTTTTTTCTCTAACCACCTGTTCCTTAAGTCCATTCCATGATTTGTTAAAATAATTAAAATAGGGATGAGAGAACAACTAGTTTGGGTTTTAGTGTGAATTGTGTAGACACTATTCAAAATTGTACTCCTCAAATGTCATTCTTCATCCCCCGCAAAAGGACTTTTAAGTATAAAGCCCGCAGCAAACATTTTAAGTGCATAAAAGTACATAAAGATCTCCAGTATTTACATATGAAATTATGCCTTTAGAATCCAGTCGAGGGGCGCCTGGTGGGCTCAGTCAGTAGAGCATGCAACTCTTGATCTTGCGGTTGAGTTTGAGCCCCACACTGGATGTAGAGAGTACTTAAAAAATAAAAGCCAATCTATATATTCATAACCAATTATGTTTAGTTAGCCTGTGATCATTATCTCATGTTCACTCTGATAATTTTATAGCATTAGAAGGAGCATAAAGAATGCAAAAAGCTTGAGAGGCAACATAGTATAGTGATACAGAGCAGGGGCTCTGGCACCAGTCCATATGGTTTCAAATCCTGACTCTACCACTGCTACCCATGCAACCTATGGCAAGTTACTTGATCTCTTTGTGCCTCAGCTTCCTCATCTGAAAAGTGCTGATAATATAGCACCTACGCCATAGATACAGTGGGTGAGGATTAAATGATTTAATACATGTATGTGGTATTCATATAGTAGTACTAATAGCCCATAGTAAGCTCTTAGGAATGTTAGCTATGGTTAATATTAAGGGCAAAAATTCGTCTGTTTCCTTCAGGACAGCTTTGATTGCACTCAACATTGGCAAGCCCCTTAATTCACAGGTTGGTTTTTAAAATTCAAGGCTCTTGTGCCTTTCTTTATAAATCAGCGGCCTGGTTTAGTCATAGTCAGTAATAGATCCCAAGCATGGAAATGTGTTTCTGAGCATCTTTTGCTCAAAGTGATCATCTGGTTAGTCTTTTACACGGTGATATTTGTCAAAGCTTCTCCTTATAGTAATGACAGATATTACTCTGAGTGCCCTCTACAGTACTTCTTAGATCTTATTTTTTTCCTAATGTGGTATTCTTCACCATTCATATTCTTACTGTGCATTTCATTTTAGGTCCATGTGCTAACTTTCACTGTTTACATGTTGCTGCAAGGCCTCACCAACAAGCTTCAAGTTGGGGATTTGGACTCTTGTTTAGATATAATGATAGAGGTAAGATTTAGAAAAAGGAAGTTTCACTGTTTTTTTTTAACTGGGCAAAGGACATAGGAAATCAGTTCACAAATTAAGGAATAATTATAGCCTATAGAAATGAAAATAATGTACTGTCTTATCTCTTAGATTAGCAGAGGTTTAAAAAGCTGATCAAGTGACGTGAGATGGGCACCTGCCACTGCTAGTAGGTCATGAGTTTTGGTATAACCTTTCTGGAAAGAAAGCTGATGTTGTGTATCAAGAACTTTAAGCAAAAATTTCAACTACTTCGAAGAATCTGTTTTAAAGGAATAATCAGATATATTTAGTCTGCGGTTTATATAAAAGCTATAAAGCTTTACCTAGAACAATGAAAAGTAGAATAATGAAAAATTAATAATCAATTTTTAAAATTGGATAATGTGATAATTTGTGGGGTGGGATTAAGTGCTACACAGTCTTTGCTCATAAAAAAAATGTAGACACTTAAACATTTTGAATTAAACACATCAGTTTTGGTAATTAAGTTGCAAATATCATATCATATGAGTTTTTTAAAGAGAAATTAAGCTGCTCTTTGGTAATATCAAAGAAGTAGTACCTGTCTGTATATTCCGTAATTGTATATGTAAATCTATATAGTATTCTTCTTTTGTTTCCCCTTAGAAAAAACTTTTAGGTGTTTCTATATTTGCTTGTCTTTCAGTAATTGGTCCCTGAACTACCTTGAAAAAGTGAAATCTAATAGGAATTCCTATCATCTAATTTCAGTCCTGTCTAACTTGCTTTCCCCTGATCTGGATATATCAGAGACTACTTAATGTTGACATATCTTGCTGATTGCATATAACTGCCATTTGGCTTTTTTCTCTCAAAGATTTTTAACCATGAGTTGTTTGGTGCCATTGCTGAAGAGAAGGAAGTGAAGCAGATCCTCTCCAAGGTCATGGAGGCACGAAGAAGCAAAAGTTACGATTCTTATGAAATCCTGGGCAAGTTTATAGGAAAAGATCAGGTTACAAAACTTATCCTTCCATTAAAAGAGGTAAGGACTTGAATGCAATATAGGAGATCCCCATGTTACGGTATCATGAGTTCTTGAAAAGAGCCATCCGGGATAAGTCTTAATGCTGCACCTGACCACCAGGATTTCCTTTGATGCTAAGGGAACCTGTACTATATAGCCACTAGCTGGCAGCCCTAGTTGGGCATTCTAAACCAAGAACCAGTCCTGGATGTAAACCGTGTGATGCAGAAGCAAAAAATTTGAAATGCAAGTGAATTTTATAGCTGGGTCAAGTGAGCAGCTAAGAACATAGCTTTTGTGGAGTGAGATTGCTACTCCCAGATTGCCAAGAGGGAGAAAAGTGGCATTTGTTGAACATGTATTATGTTCTAAGCATTGTGTTTCATTATCACTTCTAATCTGCACAGCCACTCTGAGATCAATGGTACTTCCATCTAACAGATAAGAAAATGCAGGTTCAGAAAAGTCATGGTTAAAGAGGAGAGTAAGGATTTCTGTTCCAAAGTTCACATTCTCTGCACTGTTTTTGCCTTCTTTTCTTTTTTTTACTATTTTGTTATGCTAATCACCATACATTACATCATTAGTTTTTGATGTAGTGTTCCATGATTCATTGTTTGCGTATAACACCCAGTGCTCCATGCAGAACGTGCCCTCTTTAATACCCATCACCGGGCTAACCCATCCCCCCACCCCCCCCCTCTAGAACCCTCAGTTTGTTTTTCAGAGTCCATCATCTCTCATGGTTCATCTCCCCCTCCGATTTCCCCCCTTCATTCTTTCCCTCCTGCTATCTTCTTCTTCTTCTTTTTTTTAACATACAATGTATTATTTGTTTCAGAGGTACAGATCTGTGATTCAACAGTCTTGCACAATTCACAGCACTCACCATAGCACATACCCCCCCAATGTCTGTCACCCAGCTGCCCCATCCCTCCCACCCCCCACCACTCCAGCAACCCTCAGTTTGTTTCCTGAGATTAAGAATTCCTCCTATCAATGAGGTCGTATGATACATGTCTTTCTCTGATTGACTTACTTCACTCAGCATAACACCCTCCAGTTCTATCCACGTTGTTGCAAATGGCAAGATTTCATCCAGTGTGTGTGTGTGTGTGTGTGTGTGTGTGTGTGTGTGTGTGTGTGTGTGTATACCATATCTTCTTTATCCATTCATCTGTCGTTGGACATCTTGGCTCTTTCCACAGTTTGGCTATTGTGGACATTGCTGCTATAAACATCTGGGTGCACGTACCCCTTCAGATCCCTACATTTATATCTTTGGGGTTCTGCACTGTTTTCATTCTACCTCCTATTGGGCAGGGACTGTAGTTTACTTACCTTCATAATGTTCTCTGTGCCTACTGGAGGAGTGAACATTCAATAAATGTTAATAATTCCTTTTATTACAATTTTATGTACTAAAACCAGCACTATTTAATAATATGAATTAACCATAATTCCAAATGTTTTGGTGTTAGATTAACTCTGTAATTGTTCCTACCATGCATTAATCTTATCTAAACCTAAGAATGTTAGATATGTTTTGAGGATGAAGAAAAGTCAACAGAGCATGTGAATTTTCCATGTATATTACCAAGTTCCTCCAAGGTAATGAAAGTTATTAATACCATGTCCTGTGCAAGGGAAGGGAATAGCTTTAGAGTGCTGAGGTTTGTGTTGGGGTTGGTGGTCTTGGATTCCCATTAAGTTCCTCTGATTTGGCCCAATGACTAATATCAAACCCTGAGGCTTGGCCATCACAGCACGTTATTCGCATGGTTTCAGATGAATAGTGACTGCATTTTGTTAATGTCTATGTGTGTGTGCTTTCCCCTCATGCGCTTAGAGGGTTGACATCTTCCAAATGTCACATCATATCTCCAACCCTGTGCCCCGAATTCTTACCAACAGAGAGCACAAGAGGGAGTAAAGAAATCCAGAGGTGCACTTCCTGCTGCTAGTGGTTGTCTCTGGAATTGAGGTTATGTGTAGATAATACTTTGTGTGTTCTGTTTGAAATTTTATTAAGAATGTTTCTTTTTTAATTAGAAAACAAAACCAAACATATATTAAAAAGCAAATATACATTTTAAAAACTACCATTACAACAAATGAAAATGCAGTTCTGTGTTACCTCAGCATGATATTTATGTTTGCCTTTAGATCTTACAAAATACCACAAGTTTAAAACTGGCCCGGAAAGTTCATGAAACCTTGCGCCGAATCATAGCAGGATTAATTGTAAATCAGGAAATGACTGCAGAATCCATTCTATTGCTCAGTTATGGTTTGGTCAGTGAAAATCTCCCCCTGTTAACAGAAAAAGAAAAGTAAGTTTGAAAGAAAAAAAAAACAACCTATCCTTAGGTGCTTGCTTCTGATAAGCCATTCAGTTCTTACTCGTAAGTGGATTAATTTAATAATTTACCTTAGTAGTGTATATATATATGTATTTGTCTGAGTTATAAGATGGTACTACTTAGTGGTGTTTGAGCTAACGTCCTTCCAAGTGATAAATTTCACCTTGAGATTATTTTTCCAATAAATGAATGAGTTAGCAGCCAGGTATTTTGGCATTTCTCTGAGACCATTTTTGTTTTATTTATTGAATCAAAATTAGGATAGATTTTAAATATATACTGATTAAACAGATATTTAGACCTTAAAAGGTTTTAAAATACCTTCCTTTGGATTTTGCTTCCGGGTTCTAAAAGAAACTCCTTGGCATATGTTTTCAAAATTCAGATGGAGTGTCTCCTTACTATTCATCTTAACTGTGTGTTCATCAATCTCGTATCTCTGGGGTTGTGTACAACCTTGATGAACAACCTAAGAATCTCTTGTTTCTCACGGTTAAAGGAGAGAAAATGCCCACAGTGAGCAGCACATTACTTAGCGCTGGGCTCCATTCACCAGGCAGGGCCACAGTAACTGCTTGGAGTGCAGCGTGCAGTGTTCTTCTCCCTGTTTCTCCTTCATGATTGACAGAAATCCAGGAACCCATGCACTAGATCCACGTCTCCCACCCGAGAGCTGTCTTCTGCTCCCCCCAACTCCAGTTCGAGGTGGGCAGAAAGCTGCTGTGAGCAGGAAAACCAACATGCACATATTTATTGAGTCCGGGCTTCGGGTAAGAATTAACCTTAAAATGCAATTTGCTACCCGCAGTGAGTGTGCCTGTTTTAATCCTCTGCTAGATTTCCAGTACTGCTCATTTCCACTGTAAATGCCTTACTATAAGTAAATTATGGGATTTTTTTTTTAAAGGTGAATTGGTCCGTTTACCATTTCTCTCTTCCAGTACTTATTTTGATGATACAACTATCTCAGAATTAATGATTTTGACCTCTAACATTATTATGGGTTCACTATTGTTTTGTATGGACATCTCTAAATTTATTCTGAATTTTTTTTTAAAAAGATGTGAGCTTCTAAAAACAAAAATTTGATCATTTATTTCCTTTTAAAACCCTTCATTGGCTCCCTTTTTTCCTGAGAGCCCAGTCCTTCATCTGGGCTATGAGGCCTAGCCTCCTTTTGTACCACTGCAACACACATCCCAGCCCCCCAGCTTCCGTTCTTTAGTCCCCACACTCTTCCCACTCCAGGACCTCACCACATGCTCCTCCCTTTGCCTGGGTCCCCACAGAAGTCTCAAAGCACACTGCATTTACAATTAATTATTTGCTAGTCTGTCTTCCTGGCTAAGATCCATCATGCAGGGACTGTGTTCATCTTGATCACTGCTGTGTCCTATGTGCAGAGCCAGCACCTGAATCAAAGTAACTGCTGAGTAATCACTTGGTAAATGAACTTAGCATCTCAGCTCCATCCTGAGCTCCCACTTTCTTCACTTACAAGAGAGTGTCCCAGGCCCTTTCCCATTCCTTCAAAATTTTGTCACATTAGGACAGAAGCATCTTAACATTTCATGTTTGTCTTTTAAAATCATTTCACCTTTACCTAACTCATTTGGTCTTGTGGGCAACTGGTGTGAAATATCGTTTTGAATCTTTTAGCTGCTACATCTGAGTCTGAAGACTTCCAAGATCAAGTCTTCAAGTGAACCTGTTCTGGAAATGTTGGATCCTTTTGTCTCTCTCCTCATAGACTGCCTGGTTTCCATGGATGTGAAGGTGAGTTCTGTTCCTTCACAAGAGCCATGCTGTGCAAAATATCCAGAACTTCAAGGCTTGTGCTTCACAAGATGATTGAGTTTTTAAGTGGATTTATGATATTATAAACTACCTCTGTTCCCTGCATTACATTGCTTTCCAATGTAATAATCCCATGTATTTGGATAGCCTTTAACGGTTTTACAAGCCCTGGAACGTACATTACTTATTTCATTTGATCCTCACAACAGTGTTATGAGGGTGAGTAGTGGGGTCCCCGTGTCAGCACCAATCCTCTCCATCAACCTTGATGCTACTACCCCCCACTGGTATGAATCCTCATAATGACCCATGAGGCACATATTATTAATGCTTCTGTTTTATGGATGAGAAAACTAGGCCTTGGGCTAAGTGACTTGGCCCAGATCACAGATCTAGTATATGAGCCTCAGTCTGTCAGACTCCAGAGCCTACACTTCTCCCATTTTCCGATTACCTCTCTTACAGTGAAGGTGCTGGGAGGTTAAGTAACATCTCTGTAGTCAAATAGGTAATAAACTACAGAGCTGGGATATGATCCCTGGCCTTTGTGACTCCCAAGGCCTTTCCTTTGTCTTCATCTAATTCAGTCCAAAAAGACCATTACAGCAACCAGAATAGCATAGATCTGTTAGGTAGAGCTGAACTAGGTGATCTCAACAGTCTCAAAGATTTAGCCCAGAGGTTCACGGATTCTCGTGTAATTGCTTGGTTCCAGCATATGTTTTTCATATCTTTTGCACAGCACTTAACTATATTAAATTCTGTAGTGTATTGTTCCCATGCTTAATTTCTGAGCCAGCTGTCTGTTCCTTAAATAGAGGGATGGTGTGGGGTGCCTGTCTCAGTTGGTAGAGCATGCAGCTCTTGAACTGAGGGTCATGAGTTCTAGCCCCACACTGGGCATGGAGCCTACTTAATAAAATTAAAAATTAAAAAAAGAATGAAAATGGGACCGTGTTCTCTTTATCTTTGTATTTCTAATATATAGAATACCTTATACACATATGCTTAGAGTGGATAAAGTACCATTCTAGAAAATAGAAGTCATTTATAATGTATTTTTCCACACACAAAACAAAGGTGCTAAAATTGGCCAGCCCATCCAATCATTTATTCATACAGGTTAAGAATACAGTGACCACTTTTTCTTAACTTGCTTGCAGTATATCTTTACTTGCCATGGAGAAACAACAAGTTCTACCATAGAGAATAGGAAACCTTCCTGTCTTCTTAGGCTTTTGGTATAGTGCTTCCAGACTGGGCTGGGCAGAGTATTTCACTCTTTCAACTTGATTGTTTTTAGAGTCTACCCAGCCTCGGGTGCTGGGTTATTGCGTTTGGTCACTACACAGGTTGATAGGTTTTGTTTTTGTTTTTCAGGTGATCACAGGTGCTTTACAATGCCTGATCTGGGTCTTGAGGTTCCCTCTGCCTTCCATAGAAACAAAAGCAGAACAACTGACCAAACACCTTTTCCTTTTGCTGAAGGACTATGCAAAACTTGGAGCTGCCAGGGGCCAGAACTTCCACCTGGTGGTAAATTGTTTCAAGGTGAGGTGTTTTCAGTTGTACTTAAAATAGCCAGGACCAGAATTAACATCAAAAGAATAGTTTTCCCCATCATCCTTTGGTGTCTTGGCCAGAATATTTTCCAGATTAATTTGCTAAGACCAGAGGATTGGTATCCTGTGTAAAAAAGCATTGATGTTGTATGAAGTCCATACCATTTCAGTGGATCTTCATTTGTAGGATGTCCTGGTTATTAACCTCACTATTGTAATTTGCAGTGTGTGACCATACTTGTGAAGAAAGTGAAGTCTTACCAGATAACCGAGAAGCAGCTTCAAGTTCTGCTAGCATATGCTGAGGAAGACATTTATGATACCTCAAGACAGGCTACTGCATTTGGTCTTCTGAAGGTACAGTGTCACCAGAATGTTGGATTCGAGTCTCGCGTTAGATACTTAGAATAATGTGGAGCATAGTGTTTTGACTAGCTGTAGATTTCCAAAATTAATTTATAAACATGGTTATGATTTTGGTGGATTAATTGTAAGTTAATATATCTACTTACTAAATGTTTGAACGTGAACTCTCTATTAACACTTCCAGAGACTTCTATAAAAATATAGGAAAATAAATATAGGTTAAAAAATACCATGCTTGTATTGGACATTGGAGTTTTTTCTTTTTTTTTAATGTAAAATCTATATAAAACCTAAAATTCACCATTTTAAATATTTTTAAGTGTATGTTCTTTTTCTTTTGGACATTACTTCCATTATTTTTGAAGTTGCCTATGACTGCTTTAACATCAGGTCAGCTTACACCCATCTGTAGTAGAACATGAAATTAGATGTCTTTTCCTTTTGTATCTTAGGCCATTTTATCAAGAAAGTTGTTGGTCCCGGAAATCGATGATGTCATGCGGAAAGTATCTAAGTTGGCAATTTCTGCACAAAGTGAACCTGTCAGAGTCCAGTGCAGACAGGTTTGTAGAGAGACCTTATTCCCATAGCAAGAATTGGGTCCTGTCTTCTCGGTTTGGTTTTTAGATAGAGACATGTCAACATTGGCTGAATTCTGAAGATGATTTTGTGTCACATTGTTGTTGCTTTATTCTAAGACTCAGGAACCCATTTACTTACCAAGTCTGAGGAGCAACTCTGCTTTGTCTTAAGGGCATTTTCAGTTAACATAGAGCACTTTGAGTGATAGCCCATAACGTGTGGAATGTTTCACATGGGTGAAGACATTTTCCTTTTGCAGCATAGTAACCTGCACCAAAGGTTTCCATCCATTGGTCCAGTCATCAACTGACTGTGCATATCACTGGGTGCCAGGTGCTGCTGGAAGGGCAGTCAACAAAATTTTTACAGTCCCTACCAATGAAATTTTTACAGTAGACAGGCACAAAGCAAAAATTCCACAGTTCTTTAATTACAGACCATCCTAAGTGCCAGGAGGGGGAAAGCGCCATCCTATTTCATCTTTTACAAGACACACCATTATTTATATACCTCAAAGAAAGAAAAAAAATCTATGACACGGTAAGATGCCATCAATTTTAAGACATAGCCCAATTTCAGAGATGTTAAAATGTGAAAAACTGTGCCTCTTAGAATTGAGAAAATATGGAAAAGCATATGATCAGGTTGAGGACCACCCTGGTGTTAGAGAGGACTTTCCTGAGGATTGGCTTATAAGCCAAAATGTGAAGGAAGAGTAAGGATTAGCTTTCCGGGTGAAGGAGGTAGCCAAAGCCTGAGGAAGGTAAACCTTGAGGTCGGTAAGGGCCTCACTTTTTGGAGGAGTTAAACGAAGATGGGGAAGGAGCCAGTTCAGGCAAGTCCTTATGGTCTTGTTAAAGATTTTAGGGCTTTATTCTAACAGCAGAAAGCTGTTGAAATCAAGGGAGGAGAGTGACATGAGAAGATCTGTATTTATACATTTGTTCATCCATGATTATACGAGTGCATATCACATCCAGAATAGAAGGGTCTGAACTGGAAATATGAACTTGGGGTGGAAGGAAGCTGTGGGCTGCTGAGGAGGCCACGTTGGAAAGGGTGGAAGCAGGTCTTCAGAAAAAGTCTCCTTGAGTATTGTTAGGAAGAAGGAGGGGAGGGCCAGCTATTATTTATTAAGCACTAGCTGTGTGTCCAGAACTTTACATACATGACTTCTGTTTGAGTTACCCTTCAGAAGAAATACCCCCATTTTATGGCTGGGAAAAAAATAGGCCTTAAGAAGTATAATGATGTGCCTTAGCTTTTGCAGTTTATTAGTAAAAGAGGCTGATTAGTATAATCGCTTGAAAACAGAGCTTTTGGCTGCAGATAGACGAGGCATGGAATTCTGGCATTGTCATCTGAGCAAGTTAACTTACCTCTCTGTTCCAACGTCATTCTCTTCATCTGTAAAATGGGGTTAATATCCCCTACCTTCCAAGGGACTGATGACAGTTAACTGCAAAACACTGAGTACAGTGTTTGGCATATAGAAGATGTTTAATAAATAGTTACTATTATCAGTATTAATGTTATCACCATTGTCATTCTTATTCAGGGGGAAATACAGGGTTGAACCACAGTCCATACTGAGTCCACCACAGCATACCAACTATGGAAGAGAGGTGCTTCCTACATGTGAGCTTAGATTTGGAGCCCAAAACAACCATGCCAGTGGTAGGCCAGAACTTGAGTCTTAATCAGGCACATGGGGCAGGACCTGAGTAAGTGAGGTCAGAGGAGAAAGGAAAGTGCATTGTTGACTCAGAAGGCAGGCTTCACCTGATTGATTACTCTTCTGAAAGGTCTTTATAACCTACCAGTGTGTCAGAAAGCAGGTTAGGAAGCAGGAATCCTGGAGAGACAGGACCCAAATAATCATCTGTATGACTTCTGTTTCTAGGTTTTTCTGAAATATATTCTTGACTATCCCCTGGGTGACAAATTGAGACCAAACTTGGAATTCATGCTTGCTCAACTGAAGTAAGTTTAAGCCATAAACTACTACACAGGGGGTAGAGAGTTAGTATCCTCTCTCATTTTAATGTGGCAGCTGTCTTAAAAATGACAAAACCTAAACCTAATGGCACCTTCTCTAAGGGTCTTATCATGTGAATCATTGACTTGGTTATCAAACAATGTGCATGGCTTCCTGTGACGGTTCTGTAGGTTGCTTTTCGAATTCAGTCTGGGTATTGATTTTCATTAAAAGTCTACTTAAGGAGAATGGTAAAAAATCTAACAAAATTACATTTAAAGCTATATGGTAGCATGATATATATATATATATATATATATGCATTAAAATTGGGAAAATGGAGTTTTTTCCACTTTTTAAGAAATAGACAAACACCTTTTTTTTTTTAAAGATTTTATTTATTTGATAGACACAGCGAGAGAAGGAACACAAGCAGGGGGCGTGGGAGAGGGAGAAGCAGATTCCCTGCTGAGCAGGGAGCCCGATGCGGGGCTCGATCCCAGGACCCTGGGATCATGACCTGAGCTGAAGGCAGACGCTTAATGACTGAGCCGCCCAGGTGCCCCGAAACAAACACCTTAAAACAATGTTTAAAATTTTTTTAAAAAATTGGTAAATTTAAGATACTAACAAGTCTATCTAATCTTGCCCTAGTTACGAACATGAGACTGGGAGAGAGTCTGCGCTGGAAATGATCTCCTATCTCTTTGACACATTCCCTCAGGTACCTTGAATCACAAACTGTAGCTGTGTTCCCCTTGACCCCTGGGAGCCACAGTCCTCCCATATGGGCACCTGTGAGAATTCCAGTCTGAGTGTGCTCATAACTGCCTGTTTTCTTTTAGGGACTGCTCCATGAGAACTGTGGAATGTTCTTTATTCCTCTTTGTCTAATGATGGTGAATGATGACTCTGCCATGTGTAAAAAGATGGCATCCATGACAATCAAATCTTTACTCAGTAAAATCAACCTTGAGAAAAAAGATTGGCTCTTTGAAATGGTTACCACCTGGTTTGGAGCAAAAAAGGTTAGGGTTGCTTTTAGTCATATTTCAATGAAAAGTCTATTTTTGGTGTTCACTTTAAGAATAGATATGTAGTCCCACTACATGATTGTCAGCCAATTATACTACTACATGAATGTATCGCTTATGTGCTTAACCAGTCCCCATTGAGTATCTGTTTTCAGTTTTGCTTATTCAGCTAATGAAATGTAATTTTTGTCAATGATTGTATCTCATTGCTGACTCTACCACCATCATCAGTGGCCTGTGTTTGTGGAATATAAACAACATATGTCATAATATTGGCTTTAAGTATTAAAGTCAGAATGGGGAATGGGGGTACTGTATGAATATTTCCATTTTTTAATTAAAATTTTTTTATTATTGAAGTATAATCGACATACAATATTACATTAGCTTCAAGTATACAACATTGATTTGACCATTCTGTATATTATTTGGTACTCACCATGATTTTTTTTTTAATTTACAATGGAAAAAAGTATTAATGGATAATGATGAGTTCCATTTTTTTTTTAAATGTTATTGGGTATGAAGATTTCTCCGTATTTTTCATGGTAGCCACCAAAGGTCCATATTCTGTTGACTTCTGGCATCATAAATACTGAGGATAGAGTCATGCCCACCTTCATTTTATGATTTTGGAAATGGCCTCCCAAGTTGTGTTAACATTGTCTTCTGGTGGTTCATTTTTCGTAGAGCTTAAATAGACAACTGGCTGCCCTCATCTGTGGCTTGTTTGTGGAAAGTGAAGGAGTCTCTTTTGAGAGAAGACTTGGAACTGTTCTTCCTGTGATCGAAAAGGAAATTGATCCCGAAAACTTTAAAGATGTAAGTAATTTGCCAGAGAATAAAACTTTTGCTAATTTTTGTAGTTTTACTTAAGGTGGCTTAGCTAATAGATTAAATAGTATTTGTGTTCAAAAAAATGTTTATTAATGAAAGCAAGAATTTAGTGTAGTTGGAATAAAAAAAAGAATTGTGTAGTTGGATCTTTTTTTTTTTTTAATGAGGTTTTAAAGTTATCTTCCATAGTATATGAAGATAGAAATTTCTCCAGCAGGTGATTTCACCAGCCTACCACCACCTACTCTGGACATTTAGCAACATCTGGAGACTTTTTTTTTGTTAGTCACAAGTGGAGGGTGGAGGGTGCTGCTAGCACCTAGTGGGCAGAGGCCAGGATTGCTGTAGTTCATTCTACAGTGTACACGGCAGCTCCCCACAAGAGAGAATTATCTGACCCAAAATGTCAGTTGAGATTTTGAGAAACCCTGGTACAGATTTACATGCTGGAGTAAAAACATCCATCAGAGACTTTGAAATTGTCTTAATTGATTTACATCCATCCTGTTTTTAGATCATGGAAGAGACTGAAGAAAAAGCTGCAGATCGCCTTCTGTTTAGTTTTCTTACACTGATTAGTAAACTCATCAAGGAATGTAATATTATTCAGTTTACCAAGCCCTCTGAGACGTTGAATAAAATCTGGAGTAAGTGTTTCCTTTTTATTTAAATCTAAAAACAAACACATTAGTTGTAATAGAATTACTGAAAACAGATTTGGGAAATTAGAATATGAACACTTTGAAAGTATATAATGTCCAGGAAAAAGTCCATGAGAAAAAGATTTAAAAGGCCCTTTCAAATTGATTACAGTGAAAACGTTTCTTTCTAAGAAAAGTACTATGTATTTATGATTTCACAAGTAATACATTTCATTATCTTGTTTGTTACCTAAATAAGAATATCATTATACCATAACACATTCAGTAGATGGTTTTTTAAAATAGCTATAAATAGTCCACCATGCAAATGTGCCATGATTTAGTAAACCATTTAATTTCTATGGGACATTTATTATATATCACTCTTTAAATGAAAAATAAGATCCTAGAATTTTTAATTTAACATATTCAATTTTGATCAGTCTGTAGGAAATAGACATTGAAGTGAAAGCTTTAAGTACAGTTACTATATGGCCCACTCTGGTATGACTTCACTGAGGCATGGCCAGATTGTTACAAAATAGAATACACAGAGAACAAAAGTAAAACCCTGTTAATGAAATAAAGTAGCATAGACTAAAAGCTCAGATATGACATGGTTCATCCAGAATTTTAATCCTATTCCCTAAAACCCACAAGACTTTTCAGAGTGGCCAGGTAACATAGGAGTATAAGCTTTGGGGCCAGATGAAGCTGGGACCCGGGCCTGGTTTTGCCTATTACAGTTTGGCACTTCAGCTAGCCTGTCTGAAACCTTTCCTCATCTGTAAAATGGAACTGACAATTCTAATGTCACAGAACTGTTGTGAGGTCTAAACAAGATAATACATGTAACACACTTAGCCCTGTGCCTGGCACACAGAAAGCCTCAAGAAATGGTAACTTTCCACTGATTTCAAGAATTATTAGAAACAAATGTGTGCCTATATATATTACTTATGTTACTTAATTTAGAAATTGTTAAGTGTTACAGCCACCTTATCTCCCTTGAACCTGAAACTAATTCCAATGGAACCGGTCAGTTTCTAGGCTTACTCCTACCTCTTTTGTCATTCACCACGTTAGGAGTTGGTTTTCTAGTTGTTTCCAGTGTTTCACCACCTCACTTCTCCCTAGCTCCTTGAGAGTTTCTGGGAAGCGGGGACTATTTTGTCCCTTTTTGGTTCCTAAATCCAAGCACATAATAGATAATGAATGCATACACTAATCATATTTACCACCAAAGAGTCAGGAAAGTTGAGACATCTGAAAATGCATTTTGGTTCCCTTAGGTTATGTGCACTGTCACCTGAGACATCCACACAGCTGGGTGTGGCTCACTGCAGCCCAGATTTTTGGATTACTCTTTGCCTCTTGCCAACCAGAGGAACTTATTAGAAGACAGAAGGCCAAAAAAACTAAAAAGAAACTCTCAGTACCTGTAGCAATAAGGTTCCTAACAAATGACCTTGAGCAAAAGGTAAGATTTCCCTAAAACGTTTTTCTTTCTTTGTGATCTTCATTCTGCTTCATGTAACTATCTTGGGGTTGGCCCTAGGGAGAAATTCTTAACAGCTGACTTTGTTGCACATGTGATTCTATAGGAGTAGTGGGAACTAGAGAAGGGTCAACCTCAAGGCCAGGGTTTTCCAAAATAATTTATATCAATCTAGTCAGACTTTTGCTTATTTAGCAAATTCATCCTCTATTCAAATTCTTTTTTTTTTAACCACCCTCAAATTCTTTATCAACATTGGAAAATACTTTTTTAAATATCAATACTGTCAATCCTGCCTCCTAAATGAGATCATGTTCATGAAAATATTAGAGATCATGTTATATCCATCTCTGATTTCCTAGGGCCTAAAACAATGCATGACTCATAGTGGGAACTCCATAAATACTGAATGAGTAGAAGATGGAAGAGAAGGAAAGAAGGAAGATATTGGAATGTTGTCAAGTTTTCTACTAATAATCTGAGGGATTATATTGCCCCAGAGCTTGAAAGTATCCCATTTTTTTGGGCTGAAGTGCTTGGGGCAGGTAGAAGGCATGACACAATTTCTGGTCACGGACCTTCCCTCTCCAGCCCTATACAAATCATTCAGAGCAAAATCTAGCACCTCAGTTGTTATTACAGTTAGTTACTTGGAGTTTTTAAAAATAAGAAATATCCTGCATTGTGTCTGCCAATGTCCATTTTCTTTTCGCAGATGAAAAGTATCTCCCTAGCCTCTTGCCATCAATTGCATTCCAAATTCTTAGATCAGTCCCTAGGAGAGCAGGTAAGTATTGTCATCCTTCTGGTTTAATAGAAGGGATCTAGTCCACCAAGTCTAGGAATAGGCTTACATTTGGTATTTGTGTTTGTTTTCCTATTTTAATGCTTGGGGAATTAAATATAGACATACATGGAAATATATGTTCAGTTATAACATAAATCTAATCAGCTGTGGGATCCATCTTGGGGATGGATCCATTAAAAATTCCAATTTAAAATTCCCAATAAAGATGATGCAGTGGGAGGTTATTTATCTTTTCATGTTTAATTTTAAGATCTATTCCACATTGTGACCAAAGCTTTGAAAAGGGCATTAGTTGGTTGACTGGATTGTGATTGTTCTACAATAAACTGTATTACTGAATTTCCTTCCCTTACCCCTGGAAGCTGAAGAGAAAGTAATAATGGTCATGTTACAGTGTGGTCTGAGAATTGTCTATCCTTAACAGAAGGCAGATAAGTCACTAAAAAGTTTTATGGATTTTCATATTTTAAAATGTTAACTATAAGTAAAATGTAAATAGGGAAGCATTTATAAATATGCAGCAAATGTCAATTACTTTTGAATAGGGTCTACTGTTCCCTTTATTTTTTACCTCCTTTGGTAAAGCCATTGGGTTGGTAGATGATGACACAGATGTGTTATCTGGATATGAGCAAGGCACTGGATCATCATGACTTTTGTCATGGACAAGATAGAGCAGCAATGTAGATTAAGTTGTGGGACAACTGGAAACTGAATGCTGTATCCAAAGAGTGATCTCAAGTAGCATGCCATAAACCCAGATACTTCCATCCCTTTTTCATGAAAATATAGCATGCTTCATTATATGGCAGGGCCAGAGAAAGAATGGAAAGCTATTAGGTGGATAGCAAAGTGAGACCAGAGAAATCCTGCCAGGGTAGTAGCAGGTGGGGTCTCACACAGTATCAGTCTGAACAGAGGTTGACAGATACAACCATAGAAACTTGGGACAGGAAGGGATTTACTAGTACTGACCCAGGATGAAAGAAATTATAGAATTTAGTTCACTGTAATCTTAGGGTGAAGTGGCTGCCACAAGGGGAAAAGGCCTCCAAAACTGGGACTATCTTCAGGAAGGCCAACGTTCCGGAAGAAGGAAACTAGAATCTTGGCATGAATTCTTGATGGCCAGGCTAGCCTTGGACAGTGTATACAGTTCTGAGTCTTTCATTTGGGGGAAACTTTTGGCACATAGCACCTCTAATAGAGCATCCAGGAAGGTAAAGAAACCCAAAACCAACTTGGCGTCCTCCTTCACATAATTAGTGTGAAACATCTATGTCTGAGATTTCATGGATGTCAGAGTTAGGGACTCAATATATGGGTCCATTATTATAAGTCTAAAATTGGTCCCTGGATGAAATGGGATTTGAGGAGAAAGAGCTCAGTGCTTTAGAACTTAGGCTTGCATTCTAAAGACTTAAATCCTGGCTGACCACTTTCTTTGTCTTTGGGTGAGTCATTTAATAATTCTGAGCCTTGCTTTTCTCTCCTGATAATAGTACGTAATAGTGATATTTTAGAGTTGAATTAGAATTGCTGTGTATAAAGTCATTGCTCAAGAAATGGAAATTTATTTGTATGAAGAGATTTAATGGAGGAGGAATGAAAGCTCTCTTAAAAATGTAAATGGATAGTCTGGAATGAAATCATTTCCTTAGTATTCTTTGTGACCTTGGAGGGTAGAACTAGGCCAAGTAGATGAGTTACATGAAAATGGGTTTGGATACACTATAAAGTAGAGCTGAAGATTATCAAAATACGGAACAATCATCAGTTTAATAGTACAATACCCAGTGATGTTTTTTTTTCCTAATTGTAGAATACCTATTTTTTACTAAGCTGTATTTATTTCAAAATCAAAGTCCCAATTCCTCCCTTTTTCTCGCCCCCCCCCTCTTAAGGTTGTTAAGAATTTGTTATTTGTAGCCAAAGTCTTGTATTTACTGGAACCTGAATCTGAGGATAAGCAAGGTAAGATAAAAGAAGACATGGAAGAACAAGAAGCTTTAGGAGATGGTGTGGCCAGAGGGGAAGTGAAAGAACACAAGTCCTGTGCAGATGTGAAGATGGACCCTGACAAAGAAGAGAACGAGGAGGCAAAGGAAGAACACAGCAAGCCAGCCACACTGCTGTGGCTGATCCAGAAGTTGTCCCGGATCGCAAAACTGGAGGCTGCCTATTCACCTAGAAACCCCTTAAAGGTGTGATGAATGTATAGAATGAAAGTAGTCACTTAAAAAAATACATTAAAAAAGCATTTTAGTGGTACTAGTAATCCTCCGAAGTCTCTAGAACTTTTTAACCCAAAACTGCAGCAGTAATATCTGCCCCAAAAGAGACCTTGTTTTCTAAGTTAACTGTTTGTAGGATTGCAAGAGAAACACTTCAAACGAACAATGAATGATCTGTACTTTCAGAGATCGTGCATCTTTAAGTTTCTCGGAGCTGTAGCATTGGATCTTGGAATAGACAAGGTGAAGCCGTATCTCCCAGTGATCATAGCTCCTTTGTTCCGAGAAATGAACAGCACCTACTCGGACCAGGGTAACTGCAGCCTGTCTTCTGAATCTTCACTTCTTTCCTGAATGCTTCCTTCTTCCTTTTTGTCCTCCCTCCCTCCCTGCCAGAGTTTAAGAAAACGTGCTAGGGATCAAAACAATTAGTAGCAAACAAATAAGGCATATTTGTTATACTTGACTGCCTTCTTTGTGCTTTCTTGTGTCAAAGAGTGAATGTTTCTCTCCTAAAAGATGTTTTACTCCTAAGCATAGGTTAAATATGCAAAGAAATCCATAACTTGAGGTGGTTCTAAACCTCATGGTGCTATGGACAATAATGAATGATATTCTCTCATTGTTAATTATAAGGCTAAAGTGTGAAGTATTTTTTTTTTTATTTGAGAGAGCACAAGCAGGGAGGAGGGGCAGAGGGAGAAGCAGACTCCCTGCTGAGCAAGGATCCCAATTTGTGGCTCCATCCCAGGACCCTGAGATTATGACCTGAGTCAAAAGCAGACACTTAAGGCAGAAGCTTAACCAACTGAGCCACTCAGGTGCCCTAAAAGTGTGAAATACTTTTAAAATATTTTTACTTTTCCTATTTTTCATTTTTCTTGCCTGGGCATTTGGTACATTTCCCTCACTGATCCTAAGCAGTCTCTTTTGATAATAGGAAAAGAAGGAATTGGGAGTTGGAAAGAGAGGAGGTAAAGTGGATTATTAAGTTTTAGAATAAAATAAAACAAAGTGAATGTCAAAGTAGGAACTATTCTTAGTCTTACAACCTTGAGAAAGTTTCCTTCCTCTCAGAGGAAAAGCAATGGTCAAGGTCAGGTCTGCTTTGGTTCTCATCACCCAGCATTTATTGAGCCCCTAATATTTGCCAGGCACTGGGGTGGGGGGGTTCAGTGGTAGAAAAGACCCTACTACTCCCCATCTTCAAGAAATTTGTAACCCAGAACAGCTCCTGAAATTGAATACAAAAACCTGTGGGTTATTTGCATTTGGGAGACAGAAGGCAGGGAAGGGTGGGGAAGCAAAGACTTTTGTCAGCTTCTGAGTCTTTGATCCCCCCTTGAAAAAAGGTTATGGCCAGAGCTAAACATTTATGACCCATGAATTAGAGAGGGCCTAGAGACACACTTACCTTTCCCCTGTCTGCACAGAGTTGAGCAGGTTAATAAAGTAACCCAAAATGTTTCTGTCAGGTTCTCAAATTAGTGTCTTCTGAGCCAGGATTCCAAAAGAAAGTGGGCTCCTTGGTGCATCCCAGAGGAGTGGTGGCTGGAGTGTCAGGCCCAACACTTCCGTTCTCCCATCTCAGAAACGTAAAGGCTGGATTTAGATCAGTGTTTAATGTTCAAGTAGTAAGTGATAATGCCGTAGGAGTTTATATTTTGCATGTTGTTAATTTTATAGATGTTCAAATGTGTCCTTTCCTACATGACTATCTGATTATTACTCTGTGATTAGATCCTATGCTGAAGAATCTATCCCAGGAAATCATAGAATTACTCAAAAAGCTGGTTGGACTTGAGAGCTTCTCCTTAGCCTTTGCCTCAGTACAGAAACAGGCTAATGAGAAAAGGGCACTCCGGAAAAAGAGGAAGGCTTTAGAGGTACGTTTGCTGTTTGAAAATATGGTGTGTTCATTAGACTTAATATTTTTAATCAGGGGTGTGTGCATGTGTGTGTGTCACACTTACTCAGGGAGGAAAGAGGAACTGGCTGTGTTTGAGAAGTGGCGACTTTACAGCTGGGGCTCCAGATTCTTTCTAATGGGAATGTGTTGCATGTGTGATATTTAAAGGTGAACAAAATGGCCCATTTCTGCATTTGATTTTTATTGGTTTAGCATTTACTTTAAAAGTAATATAAAATTTCTTTTTCAAGTTCGTAACTAATCCTGATATTGCTGCCAAGAAAAAGCTGAAGAAACACAAAAATAAAAGTGAAGCAAAGAAGAGAAAGATAGAGATCCTGCGTCCAGGCTATAAGACCAAGAGACAAAAGAGCCACAGCCTGAAAGATTTAGCAATGGTGGAGTAATATGCTCCCTCTGCTGATAAAGTATCACAATTTACCCCAAAGCATGAACTTCTCCGTGTATCTGCTGGTCTGAAATCACAGCAGGTTTTATTATTTAAGTTAAACTGGCACAGATTGTATATTACACAGTTTAATCATGCTTATATTTTTTAAATTAAAACATTTTCATAATACTACTGTATCTTCACTGTCTAAAAAACGTGACACTAGTGATAATGTTTTTTTTTAAGACACATTTTAAAATAGCAAGACAATGTAGAAGTTAGGAATAAAACAAGTGATGTGCAATACTTTTATGGAGAAAATTATAAAACTTTATCAAAAGTCATTAAAAGAAATCTGCACAAATGAAGAAATAACCATGTTCATGAACAGCAAGACTTAGTATCATAAGATACTAGTTCTTCCCAAACTGGATCCCATTGGTTAAAGGCATATCTGTGTAAAATCCCAAGAGTTCTTCATATTATCCTAACAAACTGATTCTAAAATTTACATGGAAGATAAGCTGAAAAGGGTGAGTTTTCCCTGTCAGATATCAAAAGTAAGTCACAAGAAGTGCTATCCATAGTGAACATGTAATAAATTCTACATGAAAATTAAAAATTTCTGCTTGTGCGGAAACAACCGGGATATGGTATGTAGCATATATGGATAATGAATGTAGTAGTACCCAGGTTACATAATGAATAATTATGAATCAACAAAGACAATCCAGTAGAAAAAGAGTCACTGCAGAGAAGAAAAAGAAATGGCCCTTAAACATTAATACTTGATATGGCTATCCTGGTTCCTAAACATTCAAGTACTTATGTACTAGTTGGTAAGTAGTCACTGCCTTGGGACACATACGTGCCACCTTGGTTATGTGAGTCCCTAGATTCCCTATCTCCCCACACCAAAAATTACAGGATTAACACCTGGACTAGTAGGGGTCCTCCTACATCAGCTATGTCTGGTTATTTAATACTTTGAATCACTCCTATATTCAACCTCAATAATTACAAAAATGCAAATTAACATCAGAATGAAATTCCATTTTGAACCCTTTAGGTTGATAAGGTTGACAATGCCAACTGTTGGCAAGCTTGGCGAAGCAAAGGGAACTCTTATAAACCACTTTGGAAAACAGTGTGGTGTTATCTTGTTCACCTATATGGTATCTTTGTCTCAATCTACACCTGATGTGGAAGCAATATTCTTTAGTGCTCAATATATTGGGGAGGCGGGAAGAATCCATCCTATGTGCCAGATACTTTGCTAACGTTTTGTTTAGTCCTCATAGTATTCCTGAGAGCTGCCTAAAATTGGTTCTTATTTAACTGATAAACTGAGACTCAGGTTAGGTAATTTACCTAAGGGTAACAGAGGTTGCAGGTGGCATAATCAGGATTCACACCCAGGACTGAAAGCCTATGCTTTTTATAATTTCTAATTATGGAGTCAGAATATAGCATATGGCATAGAAATCAAATGTTCAAACATTCTTGAACTTCAGCATCTGTGTTTTGATGTAGTTTGTCTCAAACAGGAGTTCTCACACTTCCAAGGGGTTTGTAATGTGCCAAAAGCATAAACATGGGGCATCACAGAAGGCTGACTGCAATTAATTCTAAGTGATTTAAAGTGCATGTACAGCTTTTATAAAAATTTTTAAAATAAAAAATCAGAAGTTAACACTAAGACAAAAATGAGAAAGAACAAATATCTCAGGGATATTGAGCACAATTTAGTAAATATTTATTCAGTGCCTACTGTATGCCAAGTGCACCACACTAGATGCAAGGGATACTAACAATAAGGTATGGTCCCTACCCTCAAGGAGCTTACATTTCTACAACTCAGCACTTATCTCAAATATTTTAATAGCAAAATTCCACCACTCTTTTTAAATGTTAACACATGACACAGCACAATTACCAACCAGAGTTATAAAACAGAATATTAGAGCTAAAAGAAGCCTTTGATATGATTTGTCCAAGTCTCTCGTTTTATGGAAAACAAACAAACTGAAGGAATGGCCATTTATGCCTAGAACTCATGTGTTCAGATTTTAAGTTTGGTGCTTTTCCCATTTTCAGGGTTCTGCAAAATAATATTCAGTAGATTTTTTAAGTAACATTCAAACTCCTATAACTTACCTATATAGTTGTTTCCTACTAGACAAGGACCTCATAATTATACCATATTAAAATTAGTGTATGCTCTGTTTACCCCATTCTAGCCTTTGTGATAAAACAGAGAGATCACAATCATTCAAGTGCCGGTGTTTGCTACTACTTCAGGTGTGTTCAGTATTCAAGATGGCAAGAGTTATGTGCTGCCCAGCATCTGCCTGCCTGGGCCTCTCTCCGCCCACACTTCTCACAATGTTCCTAAAGTGCTGGGGTGGGGGTGCGGGGCACCTAGCTACTTAAGTACAAACCTTGCCACTGACCAGAAGGAAACCCAAGTAGAAGTTGAAGCGGTACTATTTTCCTAGCTGGCAAACATATAACCTACTATTTCAACCATGCATATACTCTAAGGTGCCATAATGTGCCAGGCACCACATTGGATTCTAAGGATATATATGAAAAAGTCTGTCCATCAGGAGCGATTTGGAAACTATGAAACAATGTTAATTACATTCTCAGTAATATTAGATGCAGCACTTGGGCCTGGAAGGTCTCCAAAAAAGACTTCAGAGACCAAATTAAGAATGGTGCTGGGGAATGGGCAGAAAGATTAAAGTCCCCCCCCATAAAAAGGGGGTGCCTCGGTGGCTCAGTCATTAAGCGTCTGCCTTCAGCTCAGGTCATGGTCCCAGGGTCCTGGGATCGAGCCCCACATCGGGCTTCCTGCTCCGCGGGAAGCCTGCTTTTCCCTCTCCCACTCCCCCTGCTTGTGTTCCCTCTCTCGCTATCTCTCTGTCAAATAAATAAAATCTTTAAAAAAAAAAAAAATTAAAGTCCCACAGGTAAAAAGAGAAAGCCACATTCATTTGATCTAAAAGACCAAAAGTATGAAGGAGAGGCTATAGGCCTCTGGAAAGGCATTGGCAGGAACAGGGAATGGACCACTAGTGTTCACAAGAACACCAGTGAGGGGCATCAAGTTTTTTAAATGCTGGTTGTCCAACTTAAAGATTCCCCCAAGTTTAAGTAAATACAAGGGACCATATTCTGTCACCACTGTAGCCAATCCTGTGGTAGACTGGGTAGTTTGAAAAGTTCCTCTGAACATAATTGTTTTTGATACCCTAGCAGTAAGTCTACTTTTTAAAACCAAAAATGCTCCATTTCTCCTTGTACAACCAGTAATGTTTTGACTTTTCACCAAATTTACATGTCCAATTACAGATAAAAGAAATGAAAGACAGTAAAGACATCTCTTACAATGCTTCTTAAAACAGATTTTTTAAATGTCCTTTAATACATTGTGGATTCCATCAAATATAACCATTTAGGATTGTTGCTACCTCTACTAGTATAGACAAATTTATAGAAATTATTTTGAAGTACCATGTCTACTTCAATTAGTATAATTTTATTTAAGCAATTAAGGTTGTCTGTGTTACCAGTGTTGACATTTTCAGGAATTTATGGTATACTTTATGGGATGAGCTTGACAATGAAATCTCACTTTCAGCCCTGTTCTGACTTCACTAGCAGGTGGCCCTGAGCAAGCCAAGGCCCTTATCAGAACCTTGGGTCCATGTCCATAAAATAAAGACATTACAACCTGTCCTACCTACATCACAGGGTTCCTGTATATATTAAAAAATTTTTGGCAACTATAAAGTACTATAAAATGACAATTACAGATGTCAGTGAGGTTAACCACCAAAAGAATATATCAGCTTCATGCCTATACCCAAAAACTTTTAAACAAAACAGCTTAAATAAAATGGTCATTAAACAAATGAAGACTGTATTACCCACACTATGTTCCTACTCTACTGAGTCTAATCTTTGGAAGAACTTAATTCATTTTAGGGGAAAAAAATGTGAGTTAAGATATTTATTAGTGTTTATACAAACAAGCGGTAACCACTAATTCAAAAATAGGAGGGTTTTTCCTCAAGAGTACATTCTTTAATAGGACTCTATTTGAATAAGAATTCCATACAAATAGAATATATACTTAACACAAGAAAGCAAGGAAAGATTTTACATTACACAGAACAGACATTCAGTTGGTTCAATCATGGGTGAATTACCCTTCCAACCAAATACTTATTTTTTATATTTATTACAAATATTGCAGTCCAGTATATGCCAACAATCACACAGTTTTAACATTTAGTAGCATGAAGCACACTTAACTGTTTCCAAAGGGATATGTGATGTAGTCTTCATTTCACAGGGGTAGAAGTGATTGAATTTACTGTCTGCTCTTTAACGTTTCAACTAACCTGTGAAGAGAAAATCAACAGTTTCATAACATTAACTTCAAACTTTCAGGTATAGAGCATGATCATTTATGGTAAGTTTTATACTGAAAGTGGATTCCAAAGCACTTTAAATGATGAAGGCTAAGACAGTTACACTGAAGAATGATGTTATGGACCCAATTTCCATGAAAGCCTTTTAGCTTTCACTTTTGTCTGTGCTCTGAATGAATAATCAAAAAGACCAAATATCTTCTTTCTAGGCTGTAACTACTGCAGCATGGCCAGATGTGGATAACTCAGAGGTGAAAACTAGTCTCAGTCCTCATGGAGCTTAAAATCTAATGAGTAGATGCACTAATCAATTACAGGACAGTGTAACTACTGTATCACTGGTCTGTGACAAGGACATCCAACTATGTGTGTGGAAAGGCAGTGGGCATGGAGACATGCAAGGGAAGGTTCTTGAGAAGAAGACAGTCTTAACCTAAGTCCTGAAGGATAAGGAATGAAGAATGTGGTGAGGAAGGGAAAAGTTAAAAAAAAATGGCAGAAGACTGGCTTATCTAACTATAATCAGGTAGGTGTGACTGAAATAATAGCTGATGCATATGAAGACCAGTGGAAGAAAAGGCTGGAGGAACTTAATATGATAAGCTGCTAAGTAATCTGAATTTCATCCTTAAGACTAAGAGGAAATCACACATGTGTGCAAACAGCTGCACGCAAGAACAAATGCACAAATGGCTTCTGGAAATGTACTTAACCATTCCATTGCCTCATCAAGGCCAGTGCCTTTGGTTGCTGAA